TGCCGCTTAAGGTGTATACGCTTTTTGTTTATCGGTAAACAATACTATGTAGGAAAGAAATGAAGAAGCAAGGCATTTAGTTCTCTTATTTAAATAATACTAATAAGTTGGGATCGTGTAAACATTTCAATTGTAGTAAGGATATATAGAATACATATACTTTCTTCTGAGTTTTAACAGCCTTTTAATTATTAATGGGTAATTCCGTTGAATAGATATTTAATTGAATCAATTTAATTAGATAATAAAATTCTAAAGTACTGCATTAAATTGGGTATTTAGAACAGAATATAAAATTTAAGAAAAGCTCTCAAAGTGGCAGTTAACAGACGATTATAAAATTTTATATCAGAATTTATTTCCTTTAACGAGAACCTTTCTCGGGTAAAATTGTAATGGCAATGAGATAAAAATCGAGTTTTCACTTGTTTTACGTTAACCTTGTTAAAGATGCTACTGTTAAACATACTTAATTTGAGGTTAATTAAAGTTTATGGCGATTAAGGAAACAACGCCGAAGCGTTTGTTTTAAGGGAAGTCAAACTAGTAGACCTATTTTTCAAAATCAATGCTGCACATTTCCTTCCAAGTACTTTCATGAAAGCCACTCACTTTTATTATTCGTAAACAATCATAATGGTATCCTTTGTTTCTTAACACAATTATAACCTAGCTATAATTAAAACATAACTTAACGTTTGATTTGTTATGTTTATCTTTCTCAAGTACGTCGTTATATAATTACTTCAAACGTGATAATAAAACGTGATAAATCAGTTAATACAGCGGTTGTTAGACGATAATAGCTAAGCGTTTAGTTTCTGTTATTTGCGTCAACAAAGAATGTTCTTGTAAATTATTAATAGCTCAAAAAAAAAATTATTATCACTAGATTATTAGAACGGTAACTTTCAGCTTTTTTTAACAATATTTTTTCTACATACTTCATGTTTCTGGCATTGCAGTAAACCGTAAGCATAGTTAATGCATTCTAAAACTCAATTACATAGTAATATTTTAAGAAGCGGGAATTGTATACCCATTGCCGCTAAATCAAAATCCGAGTTCTCCCCTACATCTGATCTCGTTTGAGTTTGTATTTATTTATACATTTACACAATATAAACGTATTTCACGCATTATCATAATGTGGCGTGCGAAACGTGTGAAGTATTCTTATCAAGGCAAGGCTTAAAGATAAACAGGGATGTAATTTTTGCACACGCTTTTACATATGAAGTAAATAATGTGTTTTTCGGTGAACGTCTCTTAACGTTTTTAGATAAGTTGAGGGTTATTTATTTTACCTATGTATTCCATGGTGTTTTATCATCGCCGATCATGGTTGTACAGGCAAAGTTAACAAATTGAATTGTTGTATTAGCGAAATACTATCCTTGATCTTAATGTTTTTAAAATAATTTTTCTACAAAGGTTTACAATTTTGAATCTAAGTATTTGTTAATCCTTTACTTCTATCGATTTTTCAATTGTATTATTATTTGCTGGCTTAGCTTTTCCTACCTCTTCACACAGTTGATTTGAAATGAATAGATTTAGTTCGAAAGAATTCAGTTTCCAATTGCGTGGAATACAATACATTCAGAATCATTCTATTTTAGTTGGGATCAGGTAAATTGTTGTAAGGTGAGCGTTCGCTTTCAGAATAGAGTCACGTTTCGTATAAGATGCTTGAAGGTAAAGGTGACTTTCACTCCCTGAGAACGTGAGATGTCCCAAACAATGACGGACGCAGGACATAAAGAGAATGGAACTCGACTTACACATGTATACTTGTAAATTTTGTTTTCATTAATTCATTTCAATATTTATTTGTAGAAATAAAAGAAGTATTATGTAAAAGATGAATTTGTATATCAAGAATCAATATTAAACAGAAAATATTTGAAAACAAATGCGATAGGATGAACAAAAAAGGTTTCAAATCTCACTAATAAGGTTTAGATAGTTAAAGTTCTGTATCTTTTTTAATTTCTAACAACATTCTGTGAGGTCGTAGTATTTGTCCAGTATGTTCTTACAACGTATGGTAAAAGGCTTATTCTGACACCTTAGACTTATTCTGGCATAGACATTAGAAGATTTAACTGATAGCATTGGTTTATCTTATTCTTATTCAGATTATGTAGAAATATTTTTCTGTTCTCTGGCTTATACTTACGTTTACTTTAGTTTTAGTCCACATTTCATTCATTTTGTAGACGATATTTTAGTTACTTCTTGGTGAACGCTGGAGACTCCGTATCGTTGAGAGTTAACAGGTATTCTTGCTATATGAAACATTTTCTTATAGACTTAATTATCTTTTTGCTGTCTTGTGTGTTTTCGCATTTTAGTTTTGTGTTATTGCTATTGTGTATGCTACATGTTTAAATGTGAATATATAATTGTAGCATTTTACTACTTATTTACCAAAGAGTAGGGGAAAGGGTTTTCAGTAAATAAAACAACTAATTATTGTTTGAACAATGTCCATATTATATTTATTACCACATACACACGGCACGATGTGAACCTTGTCTTAAATCATTGTATTATATTAGGTATATGTACATTGCACAATGTGTATACATACATCGTCATACACGCGCGCCCCGAAAGGCTGTATGATTAAATATCTCATAGTATTATGTACGTTATAATAATGTAATATTCCAATAAGTTAGAGTGCAGCGGTGCACGAAAACCGGGCGGCGGGCACGCCTACCGCTTTTTATAAAACGTTTGATATTATCATTATTTTAATAAAGAGATGCCGTAAAAACTAATTTATTCATCATTACGATTTTATCCATATTGTATACAGATTCATGTAACATATCATACACGAAGAAATGACGAAAACAATGCGGCGATACCGCGACGTGCGTCGCGGGTTTTGCCTAACGTTATTTCCATTTTCTAATATTTTAAATGTACATGACACCAAATTCGAACGTATATAAATCCAAATTTACTTTAATGTAAAATCTTAGGTAATTGATTTTTATTGCTATAGAAAATCAGTCAGCACGCGAAGCACGTAATCGAGAAGTAACCGCGAGAGGGAAAGCAAGCGGGCGGCGTTGCGCGGGGCGGGCGGGCTGCCGGGTGCGCGGGGTGGGCGGGCTGCCGGCTACGTGGGCGGGCGGGCTGCCGGGCCGGGCGCGGGCGGGCGGCGCCGTGACGTCACGCAGCGGCGCCGCCGCCGCGGCCCGCGGACTCTCGAGCGCCATTCTCACAGACTCGCTCTGATGCTGCAGTGATAACGACCGATCGGCGGGAGTCGGTTCGTGTGGAGCCAATGCGCGTCCGGTTCTACGCGAATAAGTATACCTTTGGTCCTTGAAACGTTAGTTGGCCATCGCCGAGTATGCAAAGCTACTTGATCTAAGGCCGCCATCGCGACTCTACGAACTTTACCAGTCTGTCACTTTATTAGATTAAAATTAATTATTATCTTTAATAACGATATAAAGTCGATCGAGTGTAAATTAATTAATGTAGAACGTCATATACAAAATATAATAAATTATCTTTTTTTCTTTTTACTTTAATTGGATATAATACCATACATTGCAATGTTAGGATTATTAGACGAATTTTTAAAATAAATTTGAGATCTCGCTTACTTTTACGTAGTCTTTATTTGGATATAGAACACATTTCTAATAGATGATTGAAATTATTTAACTATTGCGTATACGAACAAGCGCTCGCTCGCGCTGAACACGCTGCTACGATCTAACTCTGACACACGGGCCTAAAGAAATTAATTATACAAAAGTACATATATCATAAATTAAATTAATGGAAATTATGACGTCTTTTAGAGAGTATTTTGAACCAAAAGTAATGATAAATATTTACTATAAAATAAGTGAATTATTTGGAAAATAATACTATAATGCGGAAACAATTACTAAGACTAATTTAGTCTTTGGTTATATTTATTTTTGTAACTGATAATGATTTCTGAAACTAAATCAACTTAAATAAAGCGACCCATGCGTTGGAGCCCTAGGAGTGACAATAACGAAACAACTCACAAACCATATCAACAAATGATAACAACAACAATGAAACTAATTCCGTCAAGCTAATCCTGATTGCAGCTCGAATGAGTCTAATAATATCGAATAGATGGTATCGACTAATACGTCTTTTTACACATGCGGCTAACTATTATGTACAATAGTAATAGTCAATGTTTCGTCTCGGTGCAGTCGCGGCGAACCGATGGCTTCTCACGAACGCGGCGAAACGAACGTCTCTCACTATATAATGTATGTGTGTATGTTTGTACTCGTACTCGCACGGGGATAAGCGGCCGTGTACGCTTCTCCTAGATTAAAAGGTCTGTAAGAAAATATAATTATAGTGAGGAGGTGAGAGTAGATGAGAAAGCCGACGGCGGTGCGGTGCGCCCGCGCCGCTCCGCCGCCGGCCCGGGCCTAACAATTATAACATTTCATCGTAATAATTAAATATTCTAAGAAAAAATGTCTTAAATACCTATAACACCGTAAATATAAAACAAATAATTACGTTACTTTGTTAGGTATGATATCAATTTTCCGTCCGTCTTACAATAGACTCACACCTTACGATTTTATTATCAATTTCCTAGCTAACGTTAACAACATAATCGCGGACGCGTCTCCTGCGGTGTGTGCGGCGGGGTGCGGCGGGGTGCGGGCCGTCGCCGTCAGCCGCCGTAGCCGTTACGTCGTCATTACGTCGGAGTGCGAATGCGCTCTGGGTGCGTAGCTGCAGTAGTACAGTGGCTCGACACGACACGGCAACGACGCTGGTACGGCTCGAGCCGCACACGTGACGTCATTTAGCGAACGATCTCTCGACACGAAAGAAAACTAAAAGAACGCGAAGCGAGCGCGCCGCCTTGAGACTGGCACGCTCCGTCTAACTCTTTATTATTCAATTAACTACATACTCATAAGTAATAAATTACCTTTAAAAAGAATATTGATTTATTTCGTATCATTTTCAATATTTTTTTTTTGTAACAGGAAACATTTATATTTATAACGTATTTATATAATAATAGCATTTAAAAGATTGTTCATTATTATTACCTAAATTTTAATACCTAGTTTTATAATATTAATGTTTAATTGATGTAGGTAATGAGTAATAATAATATTAAATAACGAACGATTGCAACCGAGTGCACGTGTGTAGCGAGCGGGTCGGGGCCGCAGACTAGACGGAGTGGGCGACAGCTCCACTGCTCGATAGTTCGACAGTTCGACAGTTCGATAGCCAGAGATCGACTCCAGTACCTAACGAGTATGATTAATGAATTGACTTTATTAATTTAATCTATTACTTCGAACCTGCGCTTTTGGCTGTTTCTCTTAATATCCCTGTGTTCGGTTTATTGAAATGTTTTGTTTTCCGGTAACTATACCTTTTCTGAGTATGAAAATTTTACGGTTTACGATAATTATTATTTTGATTAATAAAATTTAGATACATACGACTAAGTACGGTGTAACTCCGCGATTCTAAGGGAGCCGCGCAATTTCTCAACAGTGGTCTTTCATTAAGGTAAATACAATCGTAAGAAACAATGAAATATTAATTACGTAATGCACAAAATTGTTATTCATTATAATTACAATACCTACTTCAAAGGTACAAGATAGAAACGAATTATCTTAACGCGATGAGAGAATCTGAAATGTTCCGACTTAGCTTCCCAAACATCCTTACGAATCGTAAATATATGATCATGTTATCCTTAGGATAAAAATTCATACCATAATACATATTATTAGAAAGTATGTATACGCGTTACTAATATAGACTTAATACGAAAGAAATCGAAATATGTTTGCTACTAAAACAGAACTGTCATTTGAAGAAGTGATTTTATACAATTCGAATTAGGCGAAAAATAATGATATCGATTATTTAAAATATGCTCAATATGCAGTAGTATAGTAATTATGTTAATTAATATTTGACATTAATATTAAAATAGATAGAATAAAATATGTGATGGTGGACGAGCGAAAAGAAACGCGGCGAACGCAGCGGTCGCGAGCGGCGTTATTGTCTCCGGTCCAGCAAACTCGTCGCCGTGGCGTGGGGTCGCGTCGCGTCGCAGCAGCGTTGCAGCCGCGTCGCAGCCGCGGTACAGCCGTGCCACAGGCGCGTCGCCGTCGCAGATCGCGTCCGGCATTGCCTACTCAAACCGCTACCGACAAACTCAACTCTGTACACGCGGAACATGAGGGAGGGAGAAAAGCTTATTGCCAATAACATCGATCCTCTTATTAATTCTGAACATTTCAAAGTGTCGTACAAGCGTCCTAGTAAAAATCTAAATACAAATCGGTGGTGAGCATATTTGTCTCACACCAAAAACTGTCTAACTAACGAAAGTAAGTCCCGCACGTGAAGATTAGACGTGCGGGATACACCTTACACTGTATTTAATAACTATAAATAATAAAATATTTATTAAGATACAATACGTCCCCGCAGTAAACTCTACTAGATGCATTTATTTAATTATGAAATGTATTTTTTTGTAGTTTATTATTATTCTGACAACACATCTACAGTACAGTCGAAGCGAGAATTTGAAAAAATACCTGTTTAGTTAATAGACTATATCTCGTTTACACGACAAAAAGTAGAATATCGTTATTTACAATAGAGTTGGTATTTTTGGATCCAAGGAAAAGTGTAGGGAAATGGGAGAGTGGGGTCGAAGAGGAAAAGGGTACAGTGTGAGATTGAGATGCCGCGGTCGACGGATCGGTCCGCGCGGTGGCCGGACGGATTAGACGACCGTCGCCGATGCGGCGTGCGACCGCGCGAACTGTATGACGTCAGCGCGAACTGCGCGGCGTCTGCACGGCGGTGTTGCGGCAACTGCGTGGCGACTGCGCGGCGACTGTAGCCGGCCGCAGGCTGAGGTGCGGTCGGGACCAAGGGCTTCCGCCGCAAATGTATCGCAGCGGTTGCCTGGATTCAGATTTGCGGCACAAAAATTGCGGTATGTTGCGACTATTGCCGGCGTCAACGCTCGCTACGCGTCGCCGTGCCGCTCGCCACCTACAGGGTAAACACAGGCAATAAGAATAAAATAACAAATTGTCCAAAACTTAAATTGACGCGACTAGTGAGCAGAAGTAGTGGACCACTTTTTTCATTTACATTTGTCTGTTATTAGATGTTACAATCATAATAACTTGCGAAGTTAAAATCACAGCGTTGCATGATTTAACAGCGATTTGCACGGCTGTTAAATTTCAGGCCATTAACTTTGCTTATCTGTGAGTCCCTATCGTATTAAAAATATAATTACTTAGCGGTTTTTAATATCCTTTATTATGAATTTACCGCAGTGCTGAATATGCAAGGGAATAAATAATTATGCCTAAAATAATATTTCGCAATGGTTAACAAAATTTGTATAAAAGTACTTACGTTATATATTTGTGCTAAACATTTTCAATGATAACCATTGGTAAATGCCGCAGGAATCAGGGGCCCCTGGAAAAGGAAGATTAAGAAGAAATTAACAATTAATATAACATTTTATATTTTTACGTCATAAGCAAAAGTGGATTATCCCCTCTTTAATATCCACCCTCTTTGCATCGGCTGTCTAGACGCACGCGGGGTTTCCATTATTTCGTTGTGACTACCTATCCTTCGCATTCGGATAAAAAGTTTCGTTTCGTCATTTTAAATGCATGAAATAGTTTGAATTTCATCTAGGTTATTATTTAAATCAGCTTCCTAAATATTTATTAAAAGTAAATCGTGAACGGGCAAAAATAAAAGGATATAGGATATTCTTAGTTAAGAAAAAGATTTATCGCTTCTAAAGATTAAACTGTGTATTAAACATCAAGTGTATAGGTCAGTAATTGAACGGCGGCATAAAGCGTTCAGTAGAACATTAACCTCTCCCGGGGCAGATTTAAAGGTAGTAAGTTTGGTGTTCGCAGTCGATAGAGCGGTAGCGAGCTCCGTGGCCAACAAAATAAAAACAACGAGTGGATGAGTTAGAGCTGCGAGCGACCGCTCGCCAGCGGTAATTACACCGCTTGTTCTCAGTGATTTACGATTATTGCCCAGGGGCATTCCCGTTACCTAATAAGACCATTTTATACCAGGGGACCACATGCGTTCCGCAGGCACGGACCTCAACGACTAGATTATTCATCCCCGCATTAGCTGCGTGTTTGTTTTGAAAAGCCATTACCATCGATTCTCGATATGACAAACAAGCCGCATGGAAATGTTAGTAGTTTGCGTTTGCCAGTTTGCAAAGAAAATAAACGTTCATTTGCTAGAAATTTAAACGTCGCCACCCGTACTTATAGGAGACAATTTATCATAGCGAGGGAATCGAAAAAAAAATGAACATTCTTAGTAAAATGGTTTGAAAATATGTTAAAGATGCGAGGTGCGAGGACAGAGAGGGCTAAGATTCTCTGGCGATGCGATAGCTGCAGGGGCGAGCGTCGACAAGCAATGAAGACTGATGGCGTCTCTGGTCGGCGGTTATGGAGCGCGGTCGCAGCTTTAAAAAGCCATTACTCGCGGCGCTGCAGCGCAGATTGCCGCCTCCTCCGCCCATCGCACTCATATTTCGGAATTTACTTTATAATCGTGTCTCGCGCCTCACTCGCTCACTAACTTATGGTGATTATGCTTTAAGAGCGTCAAGGAGGATCGGTTTCATAATGAGATTGGAACGTCTCGCTAAAATTTTAGAGTGTCGTCGGCTGCTAATTGCATCTGCGGTGCTCGCCTGCCCTCCGCGCTACACTCCCAGACATTTCAATTTGCAAGTATCCTAGTCGCAATTAACCCTTTATTTAGTTTACCTACTCAGACTTTGAAACACACAACGTTTTTCTTTTTGACCCTAATACAGTCATTTTAATAATATTGATCATTATAATCTTGTGTTATTTGCAATGTTCCGTTAATTTCAATTTATAATTCACTATTTTCTTGTTGATGTTTTCAATTATTCGTGTAATCGAACAAGGCTAAGCCCTCACAGCTATAATTATTGAAGCTCTTGTGGCCTCGGTGGTAATAACATTTGCAATTACTAGTTGTAGTCCATATTGTACTTGGGATTTTTATACGAAATGGCAACTGTTATTAAATATCGTTGTAAATAAACATTCGTTAGCATGTAATCTACTTTTAAATGTTAATTCCTGCAATAATGAATTATAATGTCTCGTCTCGCAAATCGAAATTTCAAGAAAAACAAAACAAACATTAATTTGAATTTCGTGTCAGTTGAAACTTTGAGAAAAGGACAATTCTGTGAATTGCCTTCATTTGCTTTTCACTGGAATGGACATTTTTGAAGATGACGTTGTAAATGAAAAAAGTTACAATCGAAAGTTAATAAACTTCATTCCATTCATCACGAAATAAATTAACTTGAAACTTTTCTTATTTATTGCCTGATTGTTCTCGCTTGATGCATTTATTCTCTAGTCTAAAACTTAATGATAATGATTAAAAAACACCTAAGAGAATACGAAGCTATTTCTTCTCTAATATAGATAGATCGATAGTGAGTTTTATGTTCATTTGTTCATGTGTGTAGTGCGAACTCACTGGGGTGTAGTTGAGGGGCGCGCGGCTGACAGCGATGGCGGGAAAGCCGGAGGGTTGCGGGCTGGCGGCCTGCACATAGCCCACGCTGTCGGCAGCAGAGCCGTACACGTCGAGCGCAGGTCCAGGCGAGCTGGCGGCGGGGAAGCCGGCGCGCCCGCCTGCAGCATGCGGAGATGCGGGCGGACCGAACCCAGCTGCAGCCGCTTGATAGTTGTTCATCACTGCCGATACAATAATACACGTTAATTATATTACATTCACGTAATAAAAGAGCGAAAAATCATTGGTCTTATTTTGTTTGTAAGTGTGAATGTTTTTTTTTATCCTGATGAATAAGTGTTTGTTTCTTTACAGAGTCTATTTTACCGTAATACGAGTATAATTGAGTTTTTCATTTCATACGTGTTTTCCTTAGACAGTTTAATATAGTTTTCATTGAGAGTATAGGACTTATAAAACTGTTTGCGAGTTTGTATCCACTGTATTCCTAACACATAATACAGAGTAAAAGATTGTTTGTTTTCTACAAAAATAATGATTAAAGTATGGGTAACATAACTATAGACGACGGAAATATTATCTTAATCTATTTGAACACCTTAGCTACAATAGCAACACAACAAATATGTAAGTTAGTAGAATATGTTAGAAACGATACCCAATGAAGTGTAAGAAATCGATAACATTGAGTTTTGTCAAGACACAAACATACCATGGACAGTGTACGATATGAGATATAAAGTCTACAGACGTTTAGTTTTAAACTAATGTTAAAACTGAAAGTGTGTAGTTGGAGTGTCAGGCGCGGCCTCACCTGAGAGAGCCTGAGCGAGCAGCGGTGTATTGTTGTTGGGCGTGAGTTGTCCGTTGGTCAGGTCAACTGCAAACATACACATGATTCGCATTCTCTCCTTGGACGCGAGTCGCACGCGATCCGTTAGTGACAGCCTACTAACATCCATGACTGAACCATCAGTAGCGGTATGTATAGATCTACACGGAATTTAACGCGCGCACATTTGATTGTTAGTAATGTAATTACCAATTAATCTAAATTTCCAATTGGAAATTATCAAAGTACCTAGTATCCTTTCACGTTTTGATATACGAATAAACGAAAGAATCGTTCTAGTCTAACGTCGAATGAAGCCTACAATTTTGGATTATTCGCCAATAATTGATTTCCAATATGATGTTGAAAGTTTTTCGCGTATTTACGTGAATAATTTTAATAAAATCAGAATGTTATTTTGACGTATGAAGACCGAAGAGACTGAGATTATGTCAGTAGAAAGTGAGAGTAAGTCACGTATGTCACGTGAATTCAAATGAAAAACAGAACTGGAAGTTTCGTGGGTATAAATCACGGAGGACGAAAAAACTTTTTACAAAATATCCAGTAAATTATCCGACGTGAGTTCTCGCCGCGCGATGGTCTGCTTATTGAATAGGCGGCATTAGCATACGACGCACGTCGCCGCCCGCGCCGCGTTGGCCAGCCCGCCCCGCTGTCGCCTTTGCCACGACGCGACGTTCTGATTTCTGTATACTAAATCCGTTCGCATCCGTTCAATGTGCAACAAAAAATCGAAGTTTAAAATGCAATTCTGATGAATCTGACGCAATTTTGTCGTTTAATCTTGTCTTGGAATAACATTGAACGAACTACACGATTTAATGACTTAGTTTAATAATTCACTGTTATCTAGTAACTTACAACGGTTCCGAAATGCTATAACTCTCCCCGTTAAGTGATTTTAATTCAAACGAAAATACAAATTAGAGGGAAAAGATTAATGCAAGTAGCATTCTGCTCGCTCATAGTAGCACCATTAGCCCTATTGGCTTGTACGACAAATTTTATTTTTGTCAGATGCGCGAGCTATGATTTAGTGTGAAAAATGAAGGCCCGTGGCCGCGCCAGGTGATTACCGGCCCGAGAGTGACTTTGCGAAAAAATACAAAATAAGTAATGGAGGATGAATGATAGATGGCGTGGCGGGCGGCCGGCTGCCCGCGCCCTCTCGGCCGCCTCCGAAATGCTGACACACTTTAATAACATTACGCCGCGACGTGAGAGGCTAGCCGAGGCTCGTCCGTAATAAATAAGAATTTGAGTAGCGGTGCAGACACGTCTACCAATCGTTAAAGCTCTCATCGGGCGTGCTTCATTTCTTTCCGATTGTTATCGAGCACTTCTATTATATTTGTAAAACCTCATTGACCACTCCAATTATGATGGATAATGCAAGTAATATAATGTTTTCAGTAGAAAGAACTACAGTGTTTTGGCTTCGTTGGATTATTTGATTTCGTAGATACGATCACCAAGAACGTAATGCATAAAACTAGACCTCCGCACGTAACAAGAAGTAAATTAAACTTAGCTAAAACCATGCTGGAATAGTATCAACATAAATGCAACTCAATGATTTAATTTTACATGAATAAGAACGTTAAACTTCCATATAATATCGAGTAAAAGCAAAGCAAACGTGTCGGTGTAAATGTTCGAACGTTGTAGCGCAATAATAGCTTCAATTTCAGTTCACAGTCGAGCGCACAGCGAACAAAGTCACAAGCAGACGTAGAGCTAAACTCGCGCTCGAGGCGTGTGCCTGACCTCAAATAATTTACGACTTAAACAATTCACTTAACAGACAAACAGCGCGAGTAGCAAGTCCGCAGTTCTCGTATCTCCACCGGTCATATCTGTTGCGGACGCTAACTTCTCTCAGCGAAAATTTAGTTAGTTTTGTCGATTAACATAATATGTTTTAAACATCAGAACGTATAAGTTAACAGCGCTTGCCTAGAGTAATATAATGCGGCGATGTACCGTGTACTGTGTGAGTATTGATAGATAGAAATGAAGACGTTTAATACAAAATTCGATTGGAGAAACATGTATAAAACATATCAGGTATCCAATTTTATCAGCTTGTTTATTACGGACTACGACCTTTTTATAGGGGCGAATGTAATTCGCACCCTAAGTTGGTCCGCCTCACCTCGAGAGGGAAGCACATATTCATCTATAAATTCAGCCGCCGTCTTGAGAGAGCTATTCGAACTTTCATAATTGCGAAGTTCGAAGAAACTTAATAATTCTTCTTCAGAAAGTATAGGATGACAGCCGTGCGAAATATTCACAGAGCGTAGTGGCGCCGTAAGACCCACTCTTGAACAGCCGCACAAGTATTACAAGACGTTTTCATCTCTCATATTTCACAACAAAAAACTTTCTAATTTATTGTGCATTTTGAAATAAAACTTATTAAAGAAAATTGTATTTTTGCTATAAATAAATTGTTATGAGCTATTTTAACTTCAACACTAGTTCAAACCAAATACTGTTTCAACAGTTGGTTCACCAACTAGTTAGAAATTAATGTTTAGACTGTTTAGTCGGAACTGACAAATTTAGAAACTCTAATATTAAAGATAAATGAATAGTAAATACGAGAAAATCAATATGAGTGATAAGAAATGACGTCAAATAAAGTTTTGTGCGGGAAATTCTTTTACGTCGAAAAAGAAAAAGTTGAGTAGTCACATCCTTCACATACGAGATCCCAATACTTCATTTCCCACTTGGCGGATTGAAATGTTTTATTTGAGCGGCCGTGAGTCTCGGGCGCGCACCGCTGAACGTATATTTAATAGGTGCCATCAATAACACGCTTTGAAGATGATATACTTTTGGGGCGGATCGTTTATCCGTCGGGTGTTATCTCAATTGCAAATCAATCTAATTCCTCTACTGCTTGCCGGGCCCACGTCCGCGCCACGCTGCCCGCTATATTATAATTCAAGTCGTACGCGTTCCCTTCCCAATTCTCATGAGGTTTAAATACCTTTTTGTTTTCTTCTCATTTTTACTTTGAAATCTTTGCGCAACCCTATCGTACGAATGGTTCAATCATGGACGAAGATATTATAGAAAACACTTAAAGCACATATAAGAAGCGTAATGAAAATTTATAAACACATTTCAATTAAACACAATTGATCATATATCAAATCGTATCTACAAATGACTAAATTTCGAATTTATCAAAAAAATCTACAAGTATTTCAAAACTCTCATATTGTCTGTAAACTCCATTTAAATCTACATAAACTACTATAAATGTATTTATGCTATTCTATTTAAAAATTGGTTTTGGCTAAAAAAATCTTTCTAATTATACTGAAAACGTTACATATAAATTCCATGTGATCACTTTGCCTAAGGCATTACAATTTATTACTTATAATTCTATTCTAGAAACCTCCTTAAAACTAATGTTTTACTTAAATACATCTAATAAACGAGATTGCACCACCCATCACAATTTTTATACCAAAACTCTAATCGCTTACATCTACCTACTAAAATTGTTCTCATTAAGAAAGCTTTTTGTCGGTAAATTTTATTTTAAAGACTATTTCCTACAAAATTGTTTTTCGAAGCCGCTCTTTAAAATTTCGAAGCAAATCTAATTACATTTAAAAAGTTCCTGCACAAGTTCAAATTACTATTTCTATTCTATTTATAAAATCCGCTAGTTATAATATTTATGGCCAGATTAAGACTACAAATTGCGTTACGTATTTTCTTTTCCACATTCTAAATTTTGTCTAATCTAGTGTCTATTGAAATTCGACTATTTTCTTCTAAAATAATTCTCTTTTTTCACCGTACTATATTACTACCACACTTCAATTTTTACGGAAAATTTTTACAACCTTAGAGGCCTCGAATATTGCCTACTCTATTCTAATTCTTCAAATTGCCACAGAGCGGATTAAATTATAGATTTTTTAAAAAATAAACGTTACTCGCCCTATTGATGCTGTGGACGTCAAACTTCTTTCACCGAACTGCTGTTACTTCTTGCATTCATGGCAACACTTTTGCGATCGAGTTGTGACTAAAATGCACTAGTTTTATATCTAGTTCAGTCCTTTGTCCCCGAAGCGAACATGATATGATGAGCTTTGTATATAAAATTTATTGCAGATAATATTTAAGTATACAACGGGGAGAGAAGACTGACTACCTGAGATACTGGTTTGTTTGCCAAGGATCGGTGCTTAAATAGACACAATCTAGAAGAGATTAGTATGCTAATAGGACTGATTATATGGTTCTCCGTACCGATATTCTGACGGTAAATTTCTACATAAAATTTTATGGGCAATGGAGTTCGCTAGACTAGCGCATTGTATATAGAAAATCTAAATACATTCATAATGCATAATCTATCTAAGATAAATAAAAAAGTTCTGACCCATCCAAACACAGCACCCTAAATTCTAAATCAAGAATACATGTTTATCGAATTCTATGGTACATCTATGTTCTAGTATTTACAAGGTACTAAGGAATCGTCGAGTAGCGCGGTGTAAAGTCGTACAGCGCTCCGACCTAAGGAAACAAGCTCTAAACGTAACAATTACAAACACAATTAACGGTCAAATATCTTAAATTACAAATGGAGTTGGCACTGAAGTCGACACGCGGCCACTCGCTGCCTCGACACCTAATTATTTGGATTCAAACCGACGGCCGTGTGACCCTTAAAGAATTTTCCTTCTCGAGCGTTAATTTGTTCTTGTTTTATTTTCTTATTCTTTTACGAAATGTACCAATTTTCTGTTTAATTAAACGCGTTGTATAACATTGTTAAAATATTGTTCATAGTAGGTATGGTTTGTAAACCAAAACTAAACCGAGTGTTAGGGTTAAGTTAGATTTATGCAAAGCAGTCATGTGGATGTGTTTGGTTCGCGGGATGCATTCTGAGGGCGAGCGTGTTGAATGTGAGGAATGTCTGAGATGCGGCGGCGCGGCGAGTGGCGGGCTACGCGGTCGCACGTGCCGAGCCTCTGCGGGCTAGGCCACACGACATACGTAAAACTTGACTGTTTTGCCGCAAATAACTATAATGTCGACCCCGGAACGAATAGACTACCCCGCACTGTGCTTACCGGCTTGCTGTGTCACACGACGCGCACACCAGCCTGCTATGCCGCGTTGGATGAGTCAGAGAAATAAAAAAGAAAGTTAAATATAATTGTATCGAATATGCCAGCGCTAGTTCATAATTTCTGTATGATAAACGTGAGAAATCAACCTTATCCTAGCCGACTCCATTCTAACACACTATCTCTTCTAGTTGTATTTAGTCGTTTATATTTTGCGAACCAACGTTAAGTGGCCGCGGACGACCTTAACTTGGAAGTGATCAGTCAGTGAATAACGATAAAACGTTTTGCTTACATAACGGCTTTCTTTATTTTAAAATATAGCGGCTTCACAATATCATAAATCTTATAATTAATGTATTTAAGACGATATGTCGAAACAGCAATTTGAACAATACTAGACTTAAAAATACAATAGATTAAATACAATAAAAAGTTGACATAAGGGTTACAAAACACTATTAAAAGACTTGTGCGAAATGCTTGATAAATACCTAATAAGTTATATTGACAATTGATTGGAATTACTTCCTGAGGGATACCGCATTTATTTTAATTAGGTAAATACTGAAACAATGAAATCGCTTAGACCGTGCTACAAGGGCGAACCTAGTCGGGCGATTCAGTGAGCACACGCATCTGCGAAATCGGGCTTAAGATTCTTTGAAAAGACTTTACCCTTGCGACATTGCATTCCATAGCCTACATTAGAGAATGGGGAGCGATAGCAAAGAGGTATTTAATGACACAAAGATTTATTTAGAATTCCTATTATTCCGGAGCCGTTTAGAGGTGTTTCGAGTGATAGAATGTTTTATTGGTGTGCGGTGAGCAGCGGGCGCGGTGCGGGTCCTTTGGGGCTCGGGCTTGGGGCCTACGAGGCCTGTCCGAGTGCGCCAGGGTTTACGAACTCCGCACCGACTGAGAGTCGACTTTCCGGTGGTATTACTCCCACTACACCTGCGGCAACAAAATAAAAAGAAAGCTACAAAGCCGGCAGCGGAACCGTGGCAAGCTCCACAGACGGCGCGGATGATTTTAAATAAAAACAAAGAATATACTAAAATAATACCCTATCAACTATTCTGCAACTATTAAAAGTAATTTAATTTAAATTATATAACAGTACTAATTTAATAGGGGTTTTCACTACGCCACTCTATCAAATATTTATGGAGAAAGTTTGAATTAAAACTCATATGATCACTATTTTCTTATAGCTGGTAATATTGCGTGCACGCACAGATTGTTAGGCGTCTATATTTTTGTGCTAATAAAACCCTATTTGTAACACGCACAAGCACGATGCAGGGAACAAGGGGGTTACAACTTGTTATTTTACATATTGATTCGATAATAATGTAACTTCAAAATGCGGCGTTACTTACTCGGATAATTTACTTCATATTAGTATCTTGAAGCACGCAATGGAACAAATAACAGGGTAAACTATAAATGCGTAAAAGGATATATTCGTTAAAAAGAAAAACTCGCCCACGGAAATCTTTTTCGACGGTAAATTCTTAATACAAGTGAAGTATTATAAACCTTACTTTAATGTAATCGCAGCCACACATTTCTTTAAAGATACGAGTAATACTTAAATTATTCAAGCTTATATCGTATGACTAGTTTAGAGGATGGCGATTAGGACGGTCGCATAATTAGCGATTCAATGATTGAAATTCCTTTAACTTAGTTCGTAATAATTTTGATACAGTATCCTTAATTTTGACGAAGATATTGCGAGGCTAGTTAGGAGCTAGCGTTATCGTCAAAGAGGCTTCACCTCGCTCTTACTGCGCCGATATCAAACGCGTTACAATAAATTTAACACGAAAAAGGTAGCATAAAACATTCGTATCCAAAAATAATTAATAACAATAACGATAAATATTAATAACAATAAATTCATCGTTTAAGCAGTGTAAATATTTAAAATATAGAGAAATAACTTTAAAACGTAAAATATTACTGAAGTATACATTTTTTAATTATAGCAAATATTCAAATAGGTATTAAAATAACACATTTGAAGCTCGTTTTTTAGTATTTTTTTAAGATAAACGAACAAATAAAAGTCTAATCTAGTAACTAGTTGTACTGCTACGCAAATAAACAACTATGACGTTTGAAATTCCTACTCATCCTCTAAACTTAGTAATTAGAGAAACTAGTTTTAAATAGTCTGCTACTCTTACCTAGTAATTTATCCTAATTAGCTATAAGTTTACCGGACACAATGCGACACTAAAATAATTGATTACATTCTGTTATGTCGAAACAAAATCAAATATAAAACAGTTCTATTGAACTCTGCATTAAAATATTGTTGTTTATAATAAAATCAGAAATGTATTAAAACTAATAAGTATGTTAACAGTACAACCTTAAGGGCAAATTCTGAAACGAAACTTAAACAATTCGCTTCGTAAATGCTCCTCACGAGATTTAAAGAGATTTTATAGTTTAAAAGGTCATTACATATTTAAATGTCGTTTCAATGTTTGGCCATTCGCATACTTCATTGACGAACTATTCAATATTTTTATAACTACAAGAAATCTAACTAATAAATCTTTTAAAGTATTGAAATGTTGTGTCCAGTTATCTTTATCTATGAAAATCCAAACTCTAATCTCTATGCATGCTCTATATTAAACTTGTATGCATGTTATTATTTAAAAACCGCTATTATTAATATTAAAACTACTTTAATCGATTGGAAAGATTCAAAACCTAATTCTACCGCTAACATTTCTATTAAAAGAGATCTAAGTATATCCTGATCTAAACATTACATACTAAGTTATAATGACGTTTTTATTACGTTTTTTACTGGAAGAGTTGTACATTCCTGAATATTTTACGCACTTCTGCCTTCGATAAATAATACTAAATGCAACAATATTTATAAAATAACAATATCAAATGAATATTTAAATCAAAACGATAGAATTTTTACAACTTCGTCTTCATTTTAAAAAGCATTTTGTGTGCATCTGCTACTTCGATGAATACAAAAGCAGTTGACTTTTCAATTCGATGCAAATTTAAATTAAATACGAATAGAGCGTCAGATTGATTTTAAATTACTTAATTTAGAATAAATTTCAATAACATATAGAAAAGAAGAAACTAAAAAAAAAAAACAATTTACCTATCTCTTCATAGACGGTAATTATTTTTCATTTATAACGTAGTAAAACATTTTTACAATTGTATCAATTGGCTATCAGAGTATTCAGATTTAAATGTTGTTAATAAATACTAAAAAAAAAAACCTATTTACGCTTTAAATATTAAACGCTATTTGTAAATGAAAGGTCTGTTTGCGGACATAAACTTCTTTAATTAATAAAGAGATTTTATTGTCTCTGCTACATTTGTTATTTAAATATTTCCCAGTGTTGTATTCGCAATTTAATCGAGATATTATAATAAATTCGCGTGTTGTAAATACGGCCTTGAAAGTGATTACTACACGGAGAAATTAATATAACACCGAAATTGTGTTATAGTCTGTTTTTAGAAAATTATTTCGATCAATACTAACGGGTACCGAACACCGAATTTTGCTGATATAAGGAATAAGAACATAAACATGTTAGCTTAACAATATGCTATTTACTTAATATTAAAAAGATAGAAGCCTTATTGCCCCAATTATGGTACATCTAAGACGATTCAAGCGTATTGTGTGAACAAATACGAGAAAGCTGTTTGTGCAGCTGTACCTCGACCCCGCAGCCCTCCTCAATTCGTAAGCCAACAGACGCGCTCAATCGAACCGCAGATATTTTTCGTTAGTTTTCATTAGATAAAACAATAAACTAACTCCAACAGAAAAAAACAGTAACAAAAAAGGAATAACCTTCATGTCTAATTCCACAGGATCGAGTGAAAGCCTCCGTTGCCTACGTTTAATTAGTGGAAATTCTTTTTCGTCCTTCCCGAGATTTACATTGAAGCCACCACAAAAAGGACGTCACTTTTTCAGTACTTTTATTTGAATCTGTTTAAATCTCTCTTAAAAGCTTTCACTGTTAATGAGGAGTGGGCGATATCGCGATACTATAGCACGGTAGCGGGAGGCACGGGGCCGCGGAGGGCGGAAAGACGAACGCGATATTTGCTCACAAGTATTTACTTGACGCCTAGCATTTGAGAATCGTTAAAGCGAATTGTCAGTAAACATAGAGCCGGGCGCTCGCTTGGCCGGATCGTGTCGACAAAATTATATAAATTCAGAAGATAAACAACGAATAGCGTTTCTCAAAACTTGGACGTTTTGTAATTGACAGCATGGCAGATTTATCTAGATGGCTCAGTCATTGTTAGAGGTGTTAACTTGTTAGTAAAGTTGTTAGGAGAGTTCACACGAACTTTTGCCTGCCTTGGCACGAGTTAGGAAGTGAGGACATAGTCACTATTGTTATAGATTAGTGAAGCGAATGAGAATTTTAGTTTAAAACGATCGGAGAGTAAGTCGATAAGCGAATCAGTGCCGGTTGCGTATAGTCAGCGGTCAGCGGTTAGCGGTTAGTGGAATGCATTGTCGCCAGCGCGAGTTCACAGATGCATGGCGTGTACATTGTAAACCCCACTGAGCTCGAGTGGGTGGTATGGCAGCAGTGTCGCCAGGTGGTGGTAGTGGTTTCCGGACAGTTGGTGGTGCAAGCTCGCGAGGGGATTACCTGCTGGGTATGGCAGCCCGAAGCTAGGATAGCCCGAGTAGCTACGGCCGGCCGCGTAGGCGGCGTACGCTGCGGGGAAACCTGTCGAACAAACAATAACACGTCAGTATTAGCAAAAACAACACTGAAGCATTGAAAAGCAGGGTTAATTATCAGATTGCATGCTTTCCTATGACGTCGTTTTATTCGAATGTCGTAATTACTAAAACGCCGATTGTTACTTTTGATCGATATAAACTTTGGCATGAAACACGTGTCCCGATGACCCAATTCCAAAATGGAACAATTGCATGGAGTACACGTCACGTTCATTGGATCATACAAGTTTAGTACTACGTCACTTTGGACCGAGTCCAGTCGACGCTCTAAACATCGTAAAAAGTGAATGTAAACTATGAAATGTATACAAACAAATACAAAATGAAAAGAAAAGATGTATTTAAAATACGTTAAAAAGCTATTAACAACAACAAACAATTAACATCTATTCTAGCATTTATTTCTAGTAACACTTCTAATACTGAAAGGCCAGTTCGAGATATTACGCAGTATGGACATTGCATGTAAATTTAATGAAAGTGCATTGTAAAAATGTGAAATGAATGATGGGGTAGATCGTCGACGGAGACTGATATAATGACCACATCGTATCGTTTATCACATTATTGCCAATCAAAATAGTGTATCTGTCAGGCTCCGCGATCCATCATACGGTAGATGGACGTACGACTACGTATTGTATTGTACAACGTTCAGTAATCCATTAATTAAACTGACTCAGCGCCCGCAAATACTTTGAAGTAGATTGTCAAATTAATTAGTCAATGACGTGATCCGTTTTCGTAGTCAAAATAGATCTAATTATATCAAGTTATATGTTTCAAAAGTGTTTCGAAATCGTTGTGGAAATGTTAGAAATGGGAGCATAAAATGGTGGTGGCTGGTAAAAAGTTAAAATTAAACTTACCGTCAGGAAGAGCACCCAATGACCACATGAAATCTAGAAATGTAAAAACATTTACATAAATTGATCGATCCTTACACCTTATAAATATTTATGACATTTTCAAGAAGTGTCCCGTGAGACACTATTTTGCTTGGCGAAATATTTAAACAGCAAAAACATTTATTTTAAAATACAATAATATACTTATATATAGATTGTAATATTCAAACTTTCTATAAATCCACTACTTTAAATATATCTAAGTGGTATGCAATGGGGTATGTTAGTGTTTTCTATCACCAAAATGACAATATTATTTTACTTAACACGTTAATCTAGTCTACACATTGTTAGTCTAAATCTAAACATGTTAAACAAACAGACGTTTTTAAATATTCCAGAAATGATATTTATTAATCTAAATTCTACTAAAAATTACCTATTTAATAAGTTAATACAATTAATTCTATTAGTTAACGAGAAACTACAAAAACCTTATTTTACAAATTTAATTTCATGAATTTTACACTGTTTAGTAACAGTAACATTTATCAAATGTCATAAAATCCATTCTAATGTCAACAAAGTATTTTAATTACATTTAGCATTAAACACAAAATAAATAAATATTTAAAGAATAAAGAATCATAAGGTATCATCTAGAAATCCTAAATTAAGTAAATACATACATAAAATTGGTTTAAAGTATTAAAAACCGACGCTAGATTCGGTAAATAAAAAAATTAAAGAAAAACTAATTATCTCACAAAACCCAGAAGTAACATCCACGAGTTATAAGTACCTCTTTTCTTCCATTGATAACATTTTTGAAAAGCCGACATCAACTTGAAAAGCTATTCATAATTAAAGCTAAAGAATATAAAAGAATATGTAAATTGAATAAAAATAGTTATCAAGTTATGCTCAATATCATCCTCAAACAATAAAGTGCTAGTCTCCAACAATACTAAACGGTATAGTCATATATCATGGATGGAAATGTAGAAATATTGGCAAGAATCAGCAGAACCGGTGGCTCTTAATTAATATTTCATAACTTAGCTACATTAAAAACCAGAAAAATACCAGGCTCGTTTCTATGAATGCTATCTATTGTAAATCAAATGAAAGTAAGCGCCTAGAAACCTGGTAGAAAATATCGCATAAGTATCTATTCACCCTACACAAAATTGTTCCAGAATTCCATTCTACTATTTTATAAAATGTTGTTTCGTATAAACTTTGAGATGTAAAAACTCGTTCTATGACCTTTCTAGTTTAAATCGATACACATTTTGTAATCCGCTAACTATCTCTCTTACTATGATATTTACTAAAAATAAGACACTTCGGATATTATCGGTTTCCTTATGATACTTTTTAAACCTGATCGTTTGCTTGGATGAAGAGGAATGTAAGATAACAGAGTGGATTGGATATTTTGAAAAAGAAAAATCTGACTTGAAAGCCAACAAAAGATAGTGGGGGAAGAAAGTTAGAACGGGTGCGGAGGATGTTGCTGGAAAAGAATCGCGGATCAGAGAGGAAGAGGAGTAGGGAGGGTGGCATGAGTAAGAGGGGAGTACAAAGTGGGGATGTCTAGTGCGTGGGCGCCGAGGAGGTCGGAGACGGAATAGGCGAGAGGGGGAATAGTGAGGGGCGCGAGCGTAGGTCTGGACGGGCGGGGCGCGGGGCGCAGCGCAGCCAGGGCGCGGCGGTAGGCCGCGTGCGCCACGTGCGCGCCCGCGCCCACGCCCACGCCCGCGCCGCTCACCAGCAGCTGTGGCGCGTGTACCGGGTAGGGGGCGTAGCGCACGCCGACACCGCCGCCCGCCGCTAGGGCGCTACCTAGTAACTCACCGTACGCGCCGCGACCGGCGGCTCTCGTCTTTGCCAGATTTGCTGGAAGCATCACTTCTTTCGGCTGAGCCTTTTTGCACTCCACCTGAAACAAAACGTTCATAAATGGCAATGGAAATTAACGCTTTTACGTATATTTTCGAAAATTAGTGTTACCAAAATCTGTTAGTATTTTTTTACATTTAAGCAGAAAGTAAAAATTAAGCCGTCGTTTAATTGATTCATTTGGAGACTGTACCGAACATCTTGGCTCTTTCCAGTGCGTGTACCTCCATCCCCCCACAGGGCGGAGGGCAGGAGGCAAGTATAAATTACCCAATCTTCGCTAACCCAAGCCTCTAGCAATAGAATTTTCGCAGCCGAGTAGAATCGTTAGAGAAAAGTAGATATTTTACAACGCCCTAAATTATGTTTGAGACAGCCGAAGGGATCAATTTGTTAACTTCCTTTTTGAACTTGCTGTTAAAATACGAAGGATGTTATCAGTTTGAAATGTGATACAAAAAGTAATTACACTCATTTCAAAGAAACAATTAACAAATGAATATTGATAAATTATTGATTGCATAATAGCTGAGTATGACGTCATTGTTGTTATAGCATATCACCGCATAAACTTCGAATCAGCATTAAATGTGGGAATATCTTCTAAGAATTCATCATAAAATGTGAAGCGTGTACATTCATATTTCTATGCACAATTGTCGGAGTTCCATCGAGCGTAGATACGAGCGGAGTACATAGAGCGGCGTCCACATTTGTCACGCGAATGTCACGGCCCGACAAATGAAGGCTTTGCTGCGGTGTTCGCGTACTTTGTGCACTTTGCACAACTTTGTGCACTTTGCTCAACTTTCTGGCCCGACGTGGAACTATGTACTTCTGCATTAACGCGAGGAAGTGAGTGTGAAGCCAGGTTGCGTTGTCTCCCCGATGTCTTACTATAGTAAAAATAGACGTATTCAACAAAACTCACGGAATGTTTTAACTTTAGTAAATAGCATATACAGTATATATGCGTATATTACTGGAAATTTCTTATAACCAGAATCGGAGAATTATGGTTCATCATAACCATCACCCTTTACCAGCCCATTGTCATTGGATATAGGCTTTAGATTTATAGTTAAAGCATCGGTATTACAGATTATACAAATAATCTATATTTAAATGAATTACGTAGATTATCTATTAGAAAATGAAAACTTGAGAATTTCTGATGAAAAAAACAAAAGAAAAACGAAATAATAAAGGACAAAATTTGTCAAAGCCCGAGGAATTGTATTAGAAAAGCGAGGATAATTTCGCATTTACAGTACCTACTATAATACGGTTGGCCATGAAAAAAATTCAGTCGGGGAGCCGATGTTAATTGATGTCGCGTCGCCGGCGAGCGAAGTGGAAACAAAGGTTCACAAACAATTCGCATCAGAGTTCGCAATCCCGATCGGGCGTTCGAAATCGCGACGCAGTTTAATGACACGAAAAATAACAAAGGTAAATTGTATTTAGCCCCACTAGGCGGTGGCTGCCCCGAGGCGTATCGATCCGTTCAAATCAAACTGTATACCCCTGAAGTAAAGTATGCCGTGAAAGTTTTAGGCTCAATATTATCTACGGTATAACTTTATGTCGTGTAAGTTATAATAATAAAGTAAATTAGAAAAGACGGGTGTTCAAATGTTTTACCGTTCTATTTTGTAGTCAACCTGCCTTTTATTAAATCGAAATTTAAATCTTATTTTACTAATATTATGAATGCGAAAGTTTAGATGGATGGATGGATGGATGTTTGTTAGTGTTTGTAACCTAAACGGCTGAATGAATCTCGTTGAAATTTGGAATGGATGTAGAGAATAGTCTGAAAGAACACATAGACTGCACACTTTTTTTTTTTAATTTCACGCGGACGGAGTTGCAGGCAAAAGCTAGTACGTAAATACGTCTTAAATGATAAAAGCAACTAATTTTAGACATCTGTCAGATTGTAAGCAATGTCTAGGACACGATTTTTTTTATCCGTTTCAGTATTCGGCCGTCATTAATTGAACCGAATCAAATGCTGGTTTATAATTAACTTGTAGTACCGTGGTTTAAAAAAAATGTGAATGATTTCGAAGTTCGAAAAAAAATTATTTGTTTTGGCGAAAAACATCGCGTTTAATGCGTGAGCACCTCCGTCAAATATTCGCAAATGACGGTGAATTAACACGAATCTGAACGGGGAGTCATTAAATTTACGCTTCAACATTTTTTGAGTGAAAACCTTTTAAGTTAAAACAAATTCATATGTGAATGTCAATATTATGAATGAAGCACGCTGTGAGATTTTAAGAGCATATTTGGGATTTCAATAAAAATTGCTTTATATAATATCAATTCCATTTTAACTCTCTGATATTCATATCTATACTATAATAATAAAGCGTAAACACACATTTCTTTGTTGCCTAAGATGTCAGCAATCACAGCATCTTTTCGAATAACTCTTTTGTTAATAATAAGCCCTACACTTACGTCACGCTTTGGGCTATATATTTTCACGCTGTTAAACTTAGGTGTAAATATTTTGGATAAAAACCCTTATGTGGGAAAGAGACCATAAGTTGTTGCCAACATCAAGGAACTAAGGTTGCCATGGTTTGACATTATGTCATGTCATTTTGACATTTGCAATTGATAATTTGACAAATGTGAACAATAAAATGTTTTTTTTTAAATTTCATGCGGATGAAGTCGCATGGGAACAGCTAGTTGGAAATATTACTCTATAACACAAAAACTTTTCATATTAGACTAGAATTTGTGTCACATTTCGTACGACAAAAACATCTTAATACTCACAGTTAAGACGCCTAGGCTAACTAAATTCTGAATACGAAAATAAATAAGTAATTTTGTGTGTAGAGTAATCTACATTTTATATGGATTTGTGTTTCTATCTTACGGAATAAATATCTGTTGCGTTGATATTCTTGTAGCGGTCTGGCGGGCAACGTGCCAAATAGACAACGTTCATAAGGGGATAAAATATTGTGGTCTATTTTAAACGAATATAAATCACATCTAGCAAAAACTCTATCTAAAGAACAGAAAAGCAAACCTCTTGATAATAATTCATGAGAGAAAAAAGTCAACAACGAATTACGAGTCTCAAAACTCAATCCTATAAAGTTTTCGACTTTGTTGTCATTATTTAAAGTAGTCAAGAAGTGGGTACGAGCAATATTGTGCGAGAAGATTGTTGTGCGGGAGGCAGACATACGTAGTACGTGAGATAAACGCAGACGGCGAGGGAAAGGGTTGGGAGAGGGGCGAGATAAGTTTATCAGGGAACCTCTCGGCTTGATATTGACACAGCGTCGCAAGCCTTGCCCTCATTGCCGTTAAATGGAAGTTGGGACGTGGGAACTGAAGAGTAAGTAAGAGTGTTCAAAGCTTATTTACTACCAATATAATTTTGCCCAGTAGCACAAAATTACCAAGAAATATTAATAAAAGTTTTTTTTAATTCACGGTAAGCATAACTGTTACCTTATTTATTTCTTTATGGTTTTTTGTTATTTATGAAGAAATAAATAAATTCTTAGAAAAAAGTATTATTAGTGTGTTGATGTTTTAAGAATAAACCGATAAATAAGAACACAAAAAGAATATTATCAATACAACAGCGTACACGTCTTCATAAAAATTTGATAACCAAGCACAGAGGGTTACATAAACGAGACGAGAAACAAATCTTGCGCTCAACAGGTCACGGATAATGAAATACTCAGCCGCACCCCGGGTTTTGGGAGCTTTCTCCATATTTTCGTAACCGTTCGAAGGAATAAGAATAAAGTACAAGTGTACATTTTCAGTAAAATTTCTATCGTAGTATGTTAAAGTGGCGGAGTGTTTATTTAGAGGGCGCCGTGGGGGTAGAGGCGATGGGCTGTAATGCGCAAAATTCAAATCAGATATGCGATCGACTCGTCGTACATCGCCGTCGCCGATAAGCGGCAACGTTACCTGCAATGCTCTGCAGATAGCCCCCCAGCCGTTTATTGCGAACGTATTTCGAACGATTTAAATTGAAGCGTTATAAATCTGCAGATGCGGCAACTTTATGTTGCTGTGAATACTAAAATTGTTTTGCTAAAAGTGCTCGTGTGTTTTTAAATATATTCTTTTTCCTATGTAACATTTTATGTTTTTTTTATAGTACATGTGTAATAGTTACATGAGATTTTACATACTTGTATTGTAGACAATAAACCAAAGGAATACGATTAGAATGAAAGATTTATTAGGTAACCCATTGACGTACTCCGATTTAAATGTCTAGATGAGATGTGATTGATAATAATAATTGTAGTTAAATTGTAATTATTCTCTTTTATAACTCCATGTAACTCTGTACGATATAGACACGAATAGTGGAGCAGTTGGATCAATATTAGTTTTGAACGGTTAGCCAGCTTATGATTTTGCGAAAACTTAATCGCATGGATATCGGCCGCCACTTTTTTAGATTAAACCCGTACCTAACTTACATAAAGCTCTTTTTTACGACCATTACTAAAGACTGCTATAACAGATAATACATTTTATGATTTAACAAAAAACGTCCATTAAGATTGTAGGAATAATATAATTTTTCAAATTGCTCTTCAATAACAATTTCAAAATTCCCTTATCTTTTCAGATTAACAATTTTCCGTATTAAAGTGTGACAAAACTCCCGTGTAAAATATTCAAGTGTCATTTATGATGCATCATTGGCACGTTTTGTAGTAATGTTTGTGACGCATAAAATATTAAGGGTGGCGCTGCGTCCCTTAATATTGTCGTTGCAGCCAGGTTGTCGTGACGCGGGGCGCGTCAGACGCTCGCGGCTATTTGTGGGGTATCGATCCAAGTCATTGGACCCCCACCTTCGTTAACCGAATGCTTCGAGACACTTAAATTTCATTCGCAATCACGGCTGACATGACAGTGATTTACACTGTATTTCTTTAGTAACTTTAATAAACGTTTGGATAAATATTAAGTACTGTAACCAGATTTGATATACGCTTATCTTCAACCTTGTTAGTCTCCAAC